ATTCCGCCGCGGGAGATGGGGCCGGGGGCTGCCTACCTGCCACTCTAGGCAGCTGCGCGTGCTGAGGAGATGCTGTAGCAGACGAAGACGGTGGTCAGTGGAGGGGGTGGAGGTGCCTCCAGCCGGAGGAAGGAAGGTGGAGGAGGTGGAAGAGAACAAGGGCCATCTCAGGACGGGTTTGGTGGGGGTGGGAAGCTGGGGTCATCTGAAGGAGGGGTTGGTGGTTCCAGAATGTGGTCAGGGAAGGGGTGTGTGTCAAGGAAAGCACTACGGAGCTCAGCAAGGGCATGGCTGAGCCCCTGGGGTCTTGCTGAGGCTGAAGTGGAGTCCACAGGGGTGGACGGGGTGGGTCAGGAGGTCTAGGCTCCTGGGCGAGGACCAGCCGGGTGTGTGGGAAGGACAAAGAAGGAAGATGTCAAGGGTGTTCTGGGTAGCTTGTGCAGGACGAGGGATCTAAGAATGGGCTGTTGGCTGGGGGTGCAGGGGGCGGGAGGCCTGGGCAAGTGGCCAAAGAGAGGACTGCGCAGCCGGCGAGGTCAGGGTTGAGGGCAGGGCCGGGAAAGCTTGGAGGGGACACAGATATGCCCCACATAGGCATGTGTGGTAGAAGGGATTTTCCTGCCTCCTACCCCTCCCAGTTCCTCTGTCTGGTATTAGGAGGCTGGCAGTGGGAGGGAGCTTCTGGTCATGCAGCTCAAGGCAGAGAAGGAGGCCGCCCCGTGGTCCTTTGGGTGGTCCTGCCTGTCTTCAGCGGGACTCCTCCCCTGGGTGACCTCCTGCCGCTTTGAGTATCTCTACCTCTGGACAACTCCATGCTTATGTCTACCCTGGATCTTTCCCCTTGCTCCAGACTCATCATGCAACACACTCGGCATGCGTGTCTTTGTCTGACAGTCTTCTCAACCGAAATATCCAGAATGGAAGCCTTGATTCCTGACCCTGCAAACCCTCTCCTTCCAGTCACTGCTTTCTGGTTAAAGGGCACGTCCGTCTTCAGGGTTGCTAGGAATGAAACTGGCGTCATCCTTGACTGCATCAGCAGATCCTGTAGACCCCACAGAATATATCCCAGGTCCGGCCACTTCTCCTATCCTCCACCATCACCTCCCTGGTCCCGGCCTCCGTCCCTCTCGCCTGGAGCCCTCAGGGAGGGGCAGGCTCTTCCAGCTTCTGCCCTTGTCCCACTAGGGGCTATTCCTCACGTGGCCGCCAGGGGGCGCCTTCGCGATGCGGATGGGGTTTCCCTGCTCGCGGATGGAAGGCAAAGTGGTCGCTGGTGCCTCCAGGCCCTTCCGCTGCTCTGCGTGTACGCTTCACTGAGTCCCACCCGCCTTCCTGCTGCCCCTGAAAACAGCGTGAGCTCCTTCCCGCCTTTGCCCTCGGCGGGTCCTTCCGCCCGCAGTACCCTTCCCCCATCCTTGCAGAGCTCAGTCTGGCTTCTAATCACCTTGTTTTCTTCCCTTCTCGGTCTTTCTCTTCTCCCCGGCCTCCCTTGTTAGCTTTCCGTGGCACTTTCCACCACGTGTATTCTCATTATCTGTATTAACTTGTGTATCGTCTGTGTCCCTAGCAGCAAGTGAACTCCCTGGGGCAGGGACTTGGCTTTGCCCACTGCCAGGTCCTCAGGGCCTAGCACCCAGGACTAGCTTGTTACATATATGCTGCCTGCTGCATAGTGCATGTCATCCTAGGACGGCCCAGGGGACTTGTCGGCAGGAAGCCATCCTCCCCGTCCCTGCCTCCTCCCCTCCCCGGGATCGAAAGTGTCTTCCCCTCCCTGCTCAGCATCAGCGTCCTCTTGGCCCACCCAACAGTGGAGCCAGCAGAAAGGCAGGAGCAAAGGGGTCAAATGACCTGGGGGTCCATGGAGGAGGAAGGGGACTTTGAGAGTCAAAACCCAAGACCCTCCCATTGGACAAGATAGGGAGGTTGCTGTGCATGGGGTGGAGAAGTTGCCCCAAGACTCCTTGCCTCGGTCTGTCTAGAGCAAAGGTGTGTCCATACCTTGGCTTGTTCGGTGCCCTTGTGTGCATGCCTGAGGGCTGCCAGGCAGGCTGGGGTTGGGGGGTCTCTGCTCTTACCCTTCCATGAGAAGGCTAAGGGATGGGGAAGTAAGCAGAGGGTCCTGGGGGTCCAGGGGGGACACCCAATGCTGAGTCTTGGAGAAGAGATAAGATCTGGTCAGGCAGAAGGGGAGGACCGGGATTTGGGGCAGAGGGAATGGCAGGTGCAAGGCCAGACTGAGTGTGGCTCTGAACCTTCCAGGAGTCTGGCCTGGGCGTGGTCGAGGGACGGAAGTGTGGGGGTGGGGACGAGCACGGGGACCCTCCCTCCCTGAATGAGAGCGAGCCTCACCAAGGGCGAACAGGATCCCATTCACAGTTGGGAAAGCTCATGGCCCTCCTCTGATAGCCCCCAGCACCGACACCTACCTACCTGCATCCTTTTTTTTTTTTAAATTTATTTGACAGAGAAATAGTGAGAGCAGGAACACAAGCAGGGGGAGTGGGAGAGGGAGAAGCTGGCTTCCCGCGGAGCAGGGAGCCCGATGTGGGACTCGATCCCAGGACCCTGGGATCATGACCTGAGCCGAAGGCAGACGCTTAACGACTGAGCCACCCAGGTGCCCCATCCTACCTGCATTCTTAATTAGAGCTGCCGGGTGGGAAGTGGGAGCCCAAGTGGAGAAATAATAGGAGGGGGAACCACGGGGCCCTGACGGGGCCTGGTGCTGGGGCTGAGCGAAGGGAACGCTGCCCCATCCAGGAATATTCAAACGCATGAACGAACGGGTAGCAGCTGACCACAGCTTTTCAGTCAGCGGGGAGAAAATACACTGTTAGGGTAAATGGTGCTGGTCGATGGGTAGCCACCTGGAAAAAAAGCAAAGTAGCATCTGCTCTGCGCAATGTAGCAACTAACCAAATGTAAAAAGTTAAACCTTAACACTGCAAGCAGAAACACTGTAGGAGAACGCTTTTATTAAATGTGATTTCAGAGGGGCCGAGACCTTTCTAAGAATCACAAATGAACTGAACAATATCAATATGAAAGTGTCTTCATGGCTCAAACCGCCATTAGCTGAAGCCAGTGATGGAACTGGGAAAACACGACTTGTGTGATGACCAAAGAGCTAATTTCCCTAATATGGAAATCAATGAAAAGCCCGGACACCAAATAAGAAAATGGGGTATGAAAACATAGTTCACAGAAAAGAGAAATACAAATGGCTTTTAACCGCCTGGAAAAATGCTCACTGGTACTAAAAGAAGTGCAAATCAACACTCCATCACAATAGCACTGCCTCCAGGAACATTAGAAATAAGAAAGTCATCTGAATGACTGTTGGTGAGAACGTGGGAGATGAGCTTTCCTGCACCGCTGGTGGGAAGGTGAATGGGTACAACACCCCGCGAGGGTATGTGGCACAAAGGAAACCCCTGTCACCCAGCAGCCTTCCCAAAGGGCAGGGCCTTCAGACGCTAGCGCCCGCAGAATGGCGCAGGTGCACTGTTGTACGTGGGCGCGCTGTGGGAGAAGCCAAAGGCGGAGGAGAAACCCACCTGCCTTTTCATAGGAACTAATCAGAATAATTCTGGCACGCCTAAGCAACGGAATCCAGCTTCGAAAATGAGGAAGGAAGCTCTTTCTGAATGAATACGGAACAAACTTCAAGGTAAACAGTCAATGAAAGCCAGCAAAGTGCAGGACACTGGGTATCGTCGGCTCCTTTTGGGGTCAGAGAAAGGAACTGAAGAATGCTGTTTTTTTCTGCTGGAAGGTCCCTGGAAGGACACACAAGAAATTGGCAATGGAGGTGACCTTCTAGGAAGGACTGGGTGGCTGGGCGGTGGGTCAGAAGGCTGACTTACAATAAGCTCTTCTGCATACGTATAAGTGAATGTATTACTCATTCAGAGGTAATGTGAAAATATTAAAATATAACCAAAAAACTTAAAAAAAAGGTTTGCTGTCTAGGTCCCAGGTTAGGGGAGCGGGGATGGTTGTGTTGTACTGGGAGGAGGGATGGGGGGATGCTGAGTTGGAGGAGCTGGTGGGCATCTGGGGTCGGGTGAGGGCATCTTCAGCAGGTCTCCAGGATGGCGATGGTGGCCCTGGAGTGGCTGGGATGGTCCCCAGGGTGTGAAGAGCAAGGCCAAGACAGCGTCCCAGGAGCAGGTATATGAAATGGAGGAGCAGGGTGCCCCTGCACAGGATCCAGAAGGAGTTGCTCTGTCCACCCATCAATGGGAGGAGGGTGGCCTGGGTGTGCTCCCTGAGGTCTGGGGCAGGGGACAGTGGGAGCCTGGCTGTGCTGGGTCTCTGGGTGTGCCTGGGGCAGAAGGAAAGCCCCTGATGAAGAGAGGGGTCTGCACTCACATCTAGGGCCTCATGGGGGTCTCCTAGGAGAAAATCCCCTCCCTGAACCTGGAATTTGCCCCACGGAGCCCTTGGGCCCAAATATGGTCCCTCTACCAGGAAGGAGGGAGACGACTAGAACTGACAGCTGGCCCAGGAAGTTGGGTTAGGGGCAGGAGTGGGGAGAGGGAGGGGATGGGAAACAATCATCAGCTCTGTCTGAATCCACCCTCTGGTAATTTGAGCCCAGTCACTCTGGGAGGACCCTGCCAGGCTGGGGACCAGACTCCAGCCACTGGGGGCTGCTAGAACTAGCCACCCATCTTCGGCCACCTCTCTTGGTTGTGATGCTGAACGTGAAGTTGACCCAAAGCAGAGTGGACCTCCACCCAAATGGGTTCCCAGCATGCCTCCAGGGGGCCTGCCAGAGACGCCCACCTCCCAGGGGTTTCCTCAATTTTTTTTTTTTTCTCGGAACTCAGATTTATTGATTTCCACCGTATGGACTTTAAAAATGGCATGAAGCTGACTGCCAGAAAAGGGAACTGGTGATTTTAAGTTAAAAATTAAGCTAATGGTGAAAGTATATCCCCTCTGGCTTCAGTCACCACATCGCCTTAGAGTGGATATAGGTTTTTTTGTTTGTTTTTGAACAAAGTCCCAGAACTCTGAAATCCAGGGATGCTGCAGGCCTCTCCCAGCAATGTCCTTCGCTTTGGGTCAGTCTCCTGGGCCAGAGGTGAAAGTGCTTTCAAAAATACTGCCACTTCCCCAGCACAGTATCTTTGACTGCATCCACATACTGAGTTGGGACCCAGTACACCCAGTAGTAAGAGGCTTCCGTGGGGCCCAGCTGAAACGCCATCATGTGGTAGCCTTCATGTCCTTCGATAGGTTCACTGACCACATTTTTGATGGAGCCCATGGGCAATTTCTCAGTCCGCTCTTTAGTGCCGATCCACAGCTGATCTTGTTCCAGCTTGAAGGTGAGTCTCACTTTGCCTCCGGATTTGTTGTACATGCCGGACAAGGGTACCGTTGGTAGGCGCTCCTGGGCACCCTTAACAGATGGCATCACATCTTTGGGTTTTCCTTTATCCAACACTTTCCTGTGTTGTTTCTGCCGGCAGAGGGGTTCCTTCTTGTTCTCTTCAGCCTTTGCATCCTGCTGGGCAGCATCTTTGGGTGTGTTTACGGCTAAAACATCATTTATCGTGGAGCCGACCACCATGATCTTGGCTCCGCTGCTCGCTTTTATTTCTCTCAACGTCTTATCCTCAGGGACGAGTCCCTTATCCATGACTTTCTGCATGGCAGGAGGGAGACCTGTAATCGAGTGAATCTTCTGTTTTAGTTCGGAGCCTGTGCTGTCGAGGGGGAACTTCACGTCGTGTTTAGTCTCATTCCAGATGATCTTCAAGTCCACCGGCTCCCTGGCCGCGCCGCCGCCCGCATCCTCGCCGTTGCTGACCGAGGCGTGGGCCGCAGGGTCCCCAGGGGGCTGGGCCGGCGCCGGCTGCAGGCTACCTCGCGCCGCGCAAGAGTCCTCGGCCGCCGCCCCCCCGCCGCGGCCTCGGCCTCCACGCAGGTCAGGGGTCGCGCGGGGGCCTCGGTCGTCACAGTCTCGGCCTCCGTGTCCACGCCAGGTTCCTCCGTGCCATCCGGGGCTCCGGCCGCCGCCATGATGATTGTGTACAACACCCCCCACTCCCGCAGAGGCCCTCCTCATTTTTTTTAAAAGCTCTTATTTCTATAATAATTTTTAAGTGCTGGCTTAATATATAATAAATATGATAAAGTCTTTAAAAATGCTGGCTGCTATTTTAATAAAAGGTTACACATTTTTAGTAAGATGAAATAATTCTAAAGTTGTATGCATGTGATGATATAGCCTAAGGGTTTATAAAGCAAAAATAAAAAGGGAGAGAATTACAGGGAGAATTGACAAAGTCACCGTCATGGTGGAAGAGTGGACATACCTTTCTAGTAGCTGATGGATCAAGCAAGACAAATGAGAACAATTTGTAATGATATAAAAGATCTGAGCACTGCAATTAACACCTTTGGTTTCTTAGACATATAGAGAACATTGAATATCTACACATCTATGGAAAAATGAGCCTCATAGTAGCTCATACATAAAGCAAGTCTCAACAAATTTAAAAGCATTAGTGTGATGCAGTCCATGTTCTTTGGCCACAATACCACTAAGAAAACTTAGCAAAAAGACAATTCCTTCCCTGAATTTGAAAAGGAACACACTTTCAAATAACTCATTGATCAAAAAGAAAATCAGGATGAAAATCTTAAGATACATAGAACTAAAACATAATAAAATGTTACATATCAAAGTTGTAGGTTGTGACAGATTGTATGTCTTTTTTACCACAATTAAGAAAAGATGGTAGGTTGCAGCTGAAGTCTCTGAGGAAAATTTATAGCCTTAAAAAACTGTTATTAGGAACACAAGGCTGAAAATACATGAACTAAGCATTCAAAATTGAGAAGTAAAATAAGAATAATGCAATAAACCCAAAGGAAAAAAATAAAGGAAAAATAAAGGTAAGAACAGAAATTAGTTAAGTGTGAAAAAATTGTATAATAGGATTAAAAAGGCCAAAAGTTGGTTCTTCGAAAAGCTTAGTAAAACTAACAAATCTGGGGAGCAATTCGGAACAAAGGTCGGAAACAAAAATAGTCAGTATGGAATGAAAAGAAGAAATATAACAGAAATTAAAAAGGAGACACTAAAAGTTTATAAGATAATACTATGACTAGCTTTCTAGCAATAAATTTGAGAACCCGAACAAAATAGAAAGCTCTATAAACTATTTCTAGAAAAATATATAAAAGATGGTTCCAGAAGTAATAGAAATTCCAAATAGTCCTGTATCCACTAAAGAAATTGATTTAGGGCGCCTGGGTGACTCAGCTGGTTAAGCGACTGCCTTCGGCTCAGGTCATGATCCCGGAGTCCCGGGATCGAGTCCCACATCGGGCTCCCTGCTCAGCAGGGAGTCTGCTTCTCCCTCCGAACCTCTTCCCTCTCGTGCTCTCTATCTCTCATCCTCTCTCTCTCTCAAATAAGTAAATAAAATCTTAAAAAAAAAAAGAATCCATAAACTTAAAAAAAAAAGAAATTGATTTAGTAATTTAGAGCTACTACTTTCTTCTCTCACATAATTCTAAAACCAGGCCCAGATGGCTTTATTAATGTCATAAAACATTCACGGTAGAGATAATTTCATATTATCCAAACTCCTCTAAAATTAGAAAAAGAGATAATGTCAGGGGCCCCTGGGCGACTCAGTGGGTTAAGTGGCTGACTCTTGATTTCGGCTCAGATCATGATCTTGGGGTCCTGGAATCTAGCCCCACTTGGGGCTCCTCCCTCAGCAGGGAGTCAGCTTGAGGATTTCTTTCCCCCTCCCTCTGCCCCTCCCCCATAAATAAATAAATGATTTTTTTTTTAAAGAAAAAGAGATAACGTCACCAACTCATCTCCTGAAACTAGCACAACCTTGATGACCCCTTTCCCTCCCCACCAAAAGACAAAACGAGAAAGGAAGGAACATGACTGGCCAATTGCACTGTTGAACACGGGACCCTCCCTCCCCGCCCGCATGTTGGCAAGTTGAAGTCAACTATATACACAAGACAATCATCTGGACAGCATTCCTTGGGGTGTAGTTTAAGCTGTGATAACAAAAAGCCGCCAAAACACAGGGCTTGAAAGAAGACACAGTGTATTTCTGTCTCAAGTCCAGAGGGAGCGGTCTTGATCCACCCCCCCACCCCCCCCGTCCAGGATTGCACCAGCATTTCTATTTCCTAGCCAGTAGGGAGAGGGGCAAAAAAGATGGACGGGACAAATGGTTTAAGCCTTCGAGGAGATGATGGCTCAGAAGTTGCCCACATTAATTCCATGTGCACCCTTTCCCTCCACACTTAATCACAAGGCCACACCTCACTGGGAGGGACACTGAGAAATTTGGTTGAGCTGGGTGAGCGCATGGCAGGGTGCAAGTCCTTGAGCTCTGTTACTAAAAAGAGAAGGCTAGTGAGGGACAGTCAGCAGCATTCCCCAGAGAGGCTAAGTTGGATTTATGCAGGAATGCATGGGTAGTTGAACACCAGCAAAATGGATTAGTGTTGTTCACATCTCCATAGACACAGAAAAAAAGCATTCAATAAAATTAAACCCTTATGATAAAAACAGAACAAAACTGCTGTTACTAACAATAACAGGGAAACTTCTTTAATGGATAAGAATATCTGCCAAGAGCCTACATCATCTTTAATGGTGAAACGCTCAAAGCACTCTTTTAAAAATCAGAAATAAAACAAAGATGCCCGTCATCACGGATTCTATTCAACACTGTGGTAAAGGCTCCAGACACCCCAAGAAATTAATATTATAAAACTTGGGAAGGAAGAAGTAAAACTGTCATTTTCCACAAATGAAGGCTATCTACGAAGATAGTCTTAGACTTGCTGGTAGCAAAATCTCTAGATAAATTATAATAAGAATTTCCATCCATATGGCCATATATATAAGCCCAATATGCAAAATTTGACATTTTTCCGGCATAGAAGCAACCAACAGAAAATGCAATTTTAAAAGGTGTTCGTTACAATGACACTGAAAGTAATAAGGTATCAAGGAATAAATCTGATGAGAAAATGTGCATGACCTTTCTGGGGGGAAATTATAAAACTTTATTGAAAGATATAAAGAGGAATTATAACACGTTAATGGGTAGGAAGACTGAATATTACAGAGATGTCAATTTTCCCCAAATTCCTCTATACATTGAACAGAATTCTAATTAGAATCCTGACATAGTTCCCAGAACTTGACAAGCTTATTCTCAAATTTATACGAAAGAGCAAATGGTCAGGGATAACCATTTTGGAAAAGTTCAAGAGAGGAGAATTTTTACCCTGCCAGATATAGAGAACTGGCATAGGATTTCGGTAATTTAGGCAGCGTTGTGCTGGCTTCATGGACTCACACCCGGGCAGACACCTGCCAGGAGACAGGTGGGCGGGCTCACTGGGGAAAGGCCGGGGCGGGGGGGGCGCCTCACTGCTTTGTGCCAGAGCAGTCGGTGATGGAATCGACAAAATTAACTCGGTATCTCCCCATATCCTAAAATCCATCCCAAATGTGTAAAGCTTTGAACATGAAAAGCAAAACTTTAAAAGCTTTATTATTTTTTTAAAGATATTATTTATTTTAGAGAGAGAGAGAGAGAGAGAGAGAGAGAGGGAGAGGTCGAGGGGGGAGGGGCAGAGGGAGAAGGAGATTTCCCGCTGAGCAGGGAGCCCCATGTGGGGCTCGATCCCTGGACCCTGGGATCATGACCTGAGCCGAAGGCAGACGCCTAATGACTGAGCCACCTGGGCGCCCCAAAACTTTAAAAGTTTTAGAAGGAAACATAGGAGAACATCTTTATGAAATGGGGGGTGTAGGGAAGGATTTCTTATGACTTACTCCAAAAGCAACATCACCACGGAAGAAGTTTACATGAAGCTACATTCAAATAAAAACTATTAAAAGTCACAACTGATGAGAAGACACCCCAAAGACTGGAAAAAAGATATGTAATGCATTTAGCAATTTAAGTTTGGAAATCAGAGTATACAGAGTATACAAAAAATACCTTCCCCAAATAAATATAAAAGTACAGAGGAATGGACCAAAAAAGTATGAAGAGGTAATTTAGGGAACAGGAAACACACACATCCAATAAATACTTGCAAAGATGCTCGATGACACCAGAAGTAAGTGAATATAAATTAAAACTACAATGAGAGGGGCCCCTGGGTGGCTCCGTTGGTTAAGTGTCTGCCTTCGGCTCAGGTCATGATCCCGGGGTCCTGGGATCGAGCCCCGTGTCGGGCTCCCTGCTCAGCGGGGAGTCTGCCTCTCCCCCTCCCCTCTGTCTGCTGCTTTCCCTGCTTGTGCTCTCTCTCTGTCAAATAAATCAATAAATAAAATCTTTAAAAATAAATAAATAAATAAATAAATAAATAAATAAATAATCTAAAAAAGCCCCCCAGAACCCCACAGTGAGATGCCGGTTCACATCCATGAGGTTGACCGAAGTATAAAGCCTACAAGGCCAAGCGTGGGCGAGGATGTGGACCCTGAGCGCTGCTGAAGCATGACTCCTCACTCTGTTGGAAGCCAAGATGTACATGGCCTCCAGGTCTGGGGCTCCATGTCTAGAGAGACCTCACCCACCACCTCCGGGAGTCCACATGCATCATAGCGGAGCTGTTTGTAAAAAGCCAGCCTTCCAAAGCTCACACAGATCCATTCACAGGAGACTGGATAAATACATTCTGATACATTCATATCATGGAAGATTAGATCCCAGCAAAAATAATCAAACCGGAAGTAGAAGTTTAAACATTTACCAGCACATTACTGGGTGGAGGCTGTGCCTCTCAAATCCTCAGGCTTGGGGTGAGGAGGAGGGAGTGCCCTGATCTGCATGGCCTCAGAATAAGAACAAGGACCTCTGTGAGGACCATCTAGGGAGGTGGACTGGGGCTGAAATGAACAAGGGTTTTGTAACAGGCCCAGGTGCCTGAGGATGGAAGAGACTGTCTCCTAAGGAAATGAGCTCCCCATCACTGGAGGTATGTGAGCAGGGGCTGGGCGGCGGCTCTGTGGAATCAAGCGCTGGATACCAGCGGTGCAA